CCACCACCACAAGCACCACGGGAGTCACCAAGACCACCAGCACTCTGTCAGCAGGCCCAACTACAGTCACAGCTGGAAGTACAACCAAGACTGTTCCGCTTACAACAGAAGGTACGACCACCGTTTCTTCCACAAGTGCAGAGACCACCGTACCTACCTCCAGTGCCAGCACCACCATGACCTCACCTCCTGTAGCAGGAAGCATGACCACCATTGTCACCACCACAACCTCAGTGCCCAGCTCCCCTACCAGTACTATCACACCCATGTCGTCAACTAATGCCATGTGCTTCTTTTAATGGAAAAAAAAAAAAATTATCAGCCATTGCGCTTATCCTGCATCTTTTAGCAGATTCCATGGTTTCATATTTATTAGTATAAAGGTGATATTGGTGACTCTGAGACATTAAAATATATTAATGCTAGAAGTCCTATTATTTGCAAAATCCCAAATGTTACTTGGTACAGAGCAGTAAGATTTCAACAATATCTATTTATTACAGAAAGTGGGTCAAATAGTCGAATGCAACCAAACATTGGTTTGGTTTGCCCAGATTCTGATAGATTCCTATAGTACGTAACAATTAGGAGAACCAAATGCTGTGCTAAACTGTTTTGTTCTCAACAGCTGGTACTTCACAGCCAAGACACACTACAAGCACTTCTGCAGTCTCCAGTTCTTCCCCCACCACACCTTCCACAACAGAAGCAAGCAGAACAACTCCATGTTTTTGCCATGTGTTTGGTGGCTTGTTTTCTCCCGGTAAGCTTCTTGCTTGATGGTTATAATCATTTTCATAAGCAGTGTGATCCCTTAATAATGTATTAAAGATAATCAAATAAATCTTAAATAGAATAATCACTTCAACAGAGTAATATGCTTCATGTTTTCACAATATTTTTTGTTTTGGGGTTTTTTTTCTTAGTAGTTTCATTGGTCTTTTAACTTTTCTTTCATTTTTTTTTCTACAGGAGAAGTTGTATACAACAGAACAGATAAGGCTGGATGTAATTTTTATGCACTTTGCAGCAAAGAATGTGAAATTGCTCCATTTCAGGGGCCATGTCCTGCAACAACTGCTTTAACTTCGGTGTCCTCAGAGACTACAACAGAAGCCCCCTCATCCACAGCAACATCCCTCACAGATTTACCAGAAAGAAACTGTACTGATGTCAATCCTCCACGAAAGGTGATTCCCTTCTTTATTTTAATATATTACCATTGCAAAAACATCCCAACTTCTATCCTCTGTCATTTCAAATCAACTTGCACGTATTTTAATAACAGAGTTTGTCATGGAAGAATATCCTGATAAAACATATTTCAAACCTTGCACCATCAGGCTTTGAATGCATCTAGAGATAGAAAAGTCCAGTAATATAATAGCAGAGACTTTTAAGAATATTCAAACATCACAAAAATAAGTGGACTAGCTATGAAAATGTTACAATGCCTTTTTTTTTTTTTTTCCTACACAGAAGACAGTTATTTTATTGTTCGCAGCTTGCTTGCTCTTAAGTTTGGAAATCATATGGTACCAAAACTTTTGTCTGGAATCCTTACTAAGCGTGAGAGTCTAAGTCAAGTTGGCCATGAATAACTAGAGCGAAAGGGCACATCAAAATAAATCATTTTTGTATTTTCAGCCTGGAGAGGTATGGACAACGCAGTGCCAGGAGTGTGTCTGTGATCCAGACACTGCCACGGCAGAATGTCGGCTGCTCCCATGCGATATAGAGGAAGTAGTTTGTGACGTAGGATTTATTGCCTTACCTGTACTACCAGTAACAGACCCCTGCTGTCCTGAACTTGAATGCCGTAAGTACTAAAAATACCAATGTATGCACAAGGCTACACTGTGGGAAGTTACCTTTGTGCTTCTGTTAGTATCTAGGCAGATCCTACATCCATCATGGTAACAGCAAAACCTTCTTTAAATTGTTCTCACTTATTGAATACACATCAATTCCTAGCTAAATATGCAATACGAGTTCAGCTAAAAACATTGTTCTTAATATCTGCTCAGAGAACAGGATAGTTCAAGTACTTCAAGTTCATTAACATTAATGTAACTACAGCTAAACAAAGATACATAAACATAACAGTGAGCCAGCAGAAATCTTCGGAGTTCACTAGAAAAGCAGGTAATATGAAGGAACAAAGTAAATCATAATTAGAAACTGAATTGCTGACATACGAGAAATAATAATTACCCTTGCGGTATTGTAGAACATTAATAAAATCTATAATCCATATGTTTATTTATATACTTACTTTTTTAAATAAAAGAATCAAATAGAAAACTAGCTACAAATAAGCCTGAAAGAGGAAAATCAAGAGGAACTACGAAGTCTGAAGTAATGCTGTGAAAGCCACAAATGGAATCTGGCATGTTATCAAACTGTATTACTTCAGTAAAAAATACCACTTTTCCAGTTGATCTCACATCCAAGTTCCATTCTGAGAAGTCATAAGGTATCAATATACAAAGGCATTTTTGAAGGCTACTGGTCTTCAAGTGTTCAAACAGAATACAACTCATTTAATTTGAAAAGAACCAATATGGAAAGGGCGAGAAAGGAATTTTTTTGTGTTTAGCTCAAGTTTGGTGCCATTTCTACTCAACTCTTCTGGCCAATTAAAAGATAGATTCTTTAACATCCAGCTATACTGGTTTGAGCTTGAATTCAAATTTTCCATAATCTCTATGCTATTAACAAACGTTGGTAACATCTTAACTTCTTATGTATTTTCACAGTTTGAGTTTGCTGATTTTTATTTTGGTTGTTTTTCAGGGCAACGTTCAAACACCTGTGAGATTAATGGTAAAATATATGAGGTGAGCATGGCATAATTACAGTGGCATTTTACTAGAAATTAAATGTACACCCTTTCTACCGCAAAAGCCCTTTGGAAAATTCTTTTCCCAATCCATGTCAATTTACAACCCTAACCTCTGTTCCTCAAGAAGCTTAAAACAAGAGTGCATCATTTTTAGCAGTTTCTTTCTTCTATTTGTGGAATTCAGTATTTTTTTTTTTTTTTTTTTTCCAAAGAAGCTGATGTATTGTTAAAGCTCAAATGTTTGAAATAACCCTACGAACCTTCAAAAATAAAGCCAGATTTTTTGCTTAATTGCACTTCAGAAGACTTAGTATACAGCACGTCTTCCACCTTCACCTGTGTGTTATAAAGACACTTCATGAACAGATGTTATTTTTTCTTTCCAATTTTTCAGAGTGGAACATTTGTAATAGATTCATGTAAGAATTGTACCTGCTCTTCTGAGAATGGGAAAAACATTGTGAAGTGCGAAGCACTTAAATGTGAAACATCTTGTCCACTGGTGAGTTGAGATTCAATGGGATGCCCTATCAGCCTTCAAACAGTAGTACTGTAGTAAGACCAGAACCGTCCATCATCAACTCAACATACTTTCTCTTTCATCTCTTGTGAGTAGGGTCAGCAATATAAGATTGAGGATGGAGAGTGCTGTGGGAAGTGTGAAGTATCATCTTGCAGAATTCATCTAAATAACGAGACTGTTCTGCTCGAAGTAAGTAATCTTTTCCTTCTCTCACCAGCCAATATATCCCTTCCCAGTCAGAATTTATTTAACACTGAAAGTATTCTGAAAACACTAATACAGAGTAAAACTTAAGTCTCTGAAGACTTACTTGGAAATTCCTGAATACCTCCATATGGAGTTCCTCGTATGGAACTTCCTGTGTGCCAGTTTGTGCCCACTGCCCCCTATTCTACTGCTGCATGCCCCTGGAAAGAATCTGGCCCCAAGATCTACGATATGAACTTTCAGGACAGCCATAGTTCACAAAAATTAGGCTTCTCCCATTTGGCAAAGAACTCAAATTCATCTAAAAATCTTTGAGGTGTGAGAACTTAACTCAAACATTTTTGAAGTAATCATACAGTATCTGATTACAATGGAAAAAAAATGTTTTTTTTCTTCCCTTAAAATCTTAGGTTGGTAAGATTCTGCCACTTGATCTGTGCAGCCACTACAAATGTGAATTAATTGAAGACCAATACGTTGCAGTTCAAACGAAACGAGTATGTCCCGACTACGGTCCACTGGAGTGCGATCCCGTAAGTTTTCATCGCTCCAGCTTTTACTGAATGCAGTGTAGAAGAACAAGGGGGTGAGAAAGTCAGGAAGAATGCAACAAGTTATTTTCATTGAGGTTGCAGAAATGTTTTAAGGATGAAAATAACATTGCTGTAACAGCAGTATCAAAGTGAAGCTTAGTATTTTTACACGAGCTTACAACGATTCAAGATTTCTGTGGCGATGAATCAGCCAGCAAGACATCCATGGTTTCATTCAGTGTTCATCACAGAGAAGCCTTCAGCTGAGCATTAGCAATGCTAACTTGTTATCACGCTCAGTATTGTCATCTGTGTTATAATACGTATCCTTCTTTATTTCTGCAAAGGATGAAGCAGAGACTACTCCTGATGGCTGCTGCAAGATATGTAAACGTAAGTAATACCAAGCAAGTGCTTTCCTCTTACAGGTAATTATATTAAACTTCTATCTGTATTTGAGTGGAAGGAAAGATTCTTCACTGACCTAGCTTTCACTTTTCAGTAACCCTTTCTATACTTACTCCTTTTGAAGCAATGGTGAATTTCCTGGACCGTGAATACCACAAAACAAACCCTCACACTCAGTCCTCAGCTTATATCTTCCAAACACACTGTACAGCCAAGATAAAAAAAAAAACACTTGAAATCTCCAGCTGTAGTATACAGTAGCATCTACTGTTGCCTATCGTACATAGTCTCAGTAATGAGACATAGAATCATAAAATCACAAAGTTGGAAATGACCTATAAGATCATCTAGTCCAACTGTCTCCTCATCACCATTGCCATCATGCACTCCAAAATTGTTTTAGTGTTCAGTTCTGAACTAGAGATTTGAAGCATGTTTATCTTTTTTTCCTATTCTTTTGAAGCCACTAACTGCAAAGCTTACAGCACAAAAACTGTAATCCAATACGAAGACTGTGAATCTCCTGAAGCTGTTGAGTTGGGATATTGTGAAGGGACTTGTCCTGGCTCCTCCACGTAAGTTGAAATCTCCTCAGCTTTGTTTTTATTGAATTTATATTAAATGGTCATAGAACAACAGCAAAAGTAATGTGTGTACGAGTCTCATGAATAGAATCAGACTCAGATGAAGCAAGAAGAGTTTCACTCTTCTTATATTAAAATCATATTCACACAATGCTCCTATTTGTTGATGCTTAATGAGAAAGTCTTCTTTTTCTGTCGGAACGCAGGTATTCTCTTCAAGCAAACCAGATGCAACATAACTGTAGTTGCTGCCAAGAGCTCAGCAGCCACAGAAGAGATGTGATCCTGAATTGCCAAAACGGAACAAGCATAAATTATAGCTACGTCTATGTGGATCAATGCCAGTGTATAAACGGGTGCAACTCACAAAGCCTTGAAGCAGACGATTACCAATCAGAAATCAGCCAAAAACAGACATGATCATTGCAAAAAGAACAAAAATAGGCCCTAGGAAAGCTGGAACCGTATCTTCCTCGAGATAACTTGTGCTCCTTCTTTAACTGATATTTGTTTGTTATCACCTTTTCTTTTTTCTTGCTTATAAAAGCCGAAGAACCCTTAAGTATAATATTTTATTTAAGTGATACAGTTTTCAAGGTAAAAAAGAAGTAACCATGCAAAATAACTTTCTGTACATTATGCAAATATGTCAATATGTACCAGCACAATCACAAAACCAACGTTTTGGGAAAAGTTGTAATGGCTCCAAAAACAAAACTAGGAAACATTGTAGCTACATTGCACTCAACTCTTATGACTAGAGAAAGTTTTATTGCATAGCATTTGTATGGATATAATGCTCTTAAAAGACATCACTCAGTGACAGGGAAGAGACTATTTCCCTGTTCATCTTGTCTCTTATGTGATCAATAAAACTTTCAGCATTTTTCAGTTTCAGTGACTGATAGTGTTTTCACTGTCTAAATAATGGGAAATTCAGTGACAGAGGTGTTGTTTTTTTTTTCCTTAAAAAATGTTTTACTGTTGAATTCCGCATCACAGCTACACTTTGCCAGGCCTGCTGTAGGTCTGCGGGTAGGATTGCTAGCTAGGACAGTGGTGCACTTCCTACACCATCTCTGATCCATTGATTCACATCCTTGTCAAGAACAAAGGCTGAATCCAGACAGGCTGTGCACCATCAGTTCCATAAATTCACCACTCTGACCTGAACACCAGGTATTGCTACAATTACACAGCCTGTCAGTCCTGATGAGCGCCCAGTGTGTGAAGCACTCGGCCAACTTCAGTGCAACTTCCACATTTCTGGCTTCCACAGCATTTAGCACCCAGAACAGGGAGGGTTTTGATCTAGCACTGTACTTGGGCAAGCAATCAGCGCTCTCAGCTGCATGAGGGCTCACTGTGTAAGAGGCACTCACATTCACCAGCTATTTGAGGCCTGGCATCACAATGCTGAGATAGCAATATTAACTTGAGCTGAGTAAACTGGTGCCTGCAGAGCTGATAGGTCCCAGTCCAGGGTGAGAAAAAAAAAAAAAAAAAAAAAAAAAAAACAGCAACACAAAATCTGAAATGCTTTCAATGTTGCCTTTGAGTTTGTACTGAAGCCAGTGAGATGTGTGGCACTTCCTCCTTCCTCCCCAGCTCCCTAATCCCTGGACTCTTGAGCATTTAGTGCTATGCTCACTAACTACAAGCTGTCCTTACTAACTAACTGTCTAACCAACTACAAACTGTCCTCAACTTTTTCTGGGCTGGATCTCCTGAACTAACTTTAGTGCCATATTAACACATTATATATTCCAGTATATTCCAGTTTAAGCCTTAAGATGCCCTCTACCGGTCGTTTTCTTCTCTAAAGACGACTGACACACAGTAACTACCTCCTTAGTTCTGCTGCGGACAGGTAGCTTTACAAAGCATCACCACCAGAGGGAGATTCCTCCTTATCTGATATTGCTAGATCATGCAATTTTTTCAAATTTTGCTTGGGATTACGGGAAGAATTGAGCAATAGGGACTTACTGTTCTTCATTCACCAAAATAAACTGGAGCCGTTGCTTGTCAGTTTACAGTGCAACTACTTTCACCCAATCTTTTGAAACTATTTCTAGTCTCTTAGGCTATTCCCAGTTTTCTGTCTTCTGTTGTTGACAGTTTGCGTTTTGGAAAGCCCAGAGCAAGCATACATGATTAGTACGTGATTAGTTACTTTGGTTTTATTTAGATGTTCCCTGGACTTGCAGTAGCAGTACAGCATTTGTTCCATGAAGTCTCCATGTGTCTCCTGAACTCTACTTGTAAGTGCAAGTCCCCTGGATTTGCTTCTGCTCAGGGCTTCAGAGAAGAAAAGGCACAAGAATTGATTTCCTTTTAAAAACAAAGACATACACCAAACATCCCTTCCCTGACCACATTTCTCTGCCGTTTTTTCCTTTTCCTCTTCTTTTGAAGCAGACTCCCAAAGCAGTGATTTAAGGAAATATTTCATTGCTTTTTAACTTACGAGTTCCATCCACCTGCCTTGCTTGTTGATGATTGGTAGCACATCCATACTCATAGTACAATATCACTGCACGTAACAAGTTTGCTGTATGCCTTCAAGTCCATTACTTGTCTCCCAGTGACACATGGAGCTCCTGCATTGTTAATTTTACCTCTACACAGAACACATGTGCCCAAAGAGGGAGCTCAAGTTATACCAGAACATTGCTACTGATACATTCACTGTCATATTTCTTGTTCTCACACTTTCTTTTCTCAAGCCTCAAGGTTACGTTGCCGGCAGGAGGATAAGCCATTCATTTGGCTCACTAGTCTCCAAATATTGCCCCAGTAGCTTACAGAAATAGACTTACTGTAGTTCTGTGAAATAGGAGGTATGTGCAAAAGTGCTTGCCAGGGCTATGAGCATCATACGGAGCTGTGACAGTTTCGTGATCTTGGGATTTAAAAGCACGTAGGGTTGGCCTCAAACTACGCAAAACTTTACAGAACAAATTACACAATTTCATCCATTATTTTTGTAAGAAAAAAAAAAAGTCATAGTTTCAGGTCTTAAAAAAATATTATGAACCTTGAATCAATTTTCATTTATTCCTTTCCTGCAGAAAGGAATAATAAATAATAAATAAACTCCTGCCTTTTCCCATACAGAGAAATTAGAGATTGAGATTTATTTTTTCCATAAGCTTCCTTGCCTCTTCTCAACCCCCTCCCAACTTCACAGCATAGAAACATCTTAATTTAGAACATACAAACAACTATTAAAAACTGCACGTACTGCATTCTAGCATCTAGCGAAGCACAGCAGATTTGAGGCCACTTACACACAGCCACAACAGTCTTTATGGTCACATTATTTGCCAACAGTTGACAACAGCACCACATTGACATAATTAAGCTCTCCCAGCTGCTTTCACTTTGATTTCCTCCACTGAAGATCATGGTAATGGATCACCTTCAAACAGGATCCTGCAGAGTAGTTCTATGACCTGAGCCCTTTTCAAGGTATTTTACCACTTCCACGGTGTTTAAATAAGACACAGATCATGTTTTATCCTTCCAAAACACTCACTGTGAAGGCAGAGCCCTGGCCCAAGATTCAGTATCACATGGATGTAAGCCCTGAAGCGTGCCAGGAAGCATTCAGCTGCTTCTTAAAGCTTATGGGCTGTTAACTACCAATCAATAAATTCAGCTGACGAACAAAAGACACCTGAAAACACAACAGCCCACAGCCTCTCATGCTACAATACTTAACCCACCCAACTCAGTGAAAACATCCCTGCTGATATCAGAACTGATACCATTCCCAGCTACCTGAGCTTTTAATTGCCCAAACACTGATTTCCAAGATGATCTGCGTGATGCTCTATCAAGTATCTTCAGGACTCTTGGTTACCACAGCCTTGAAACTAAGCTCAAGTTGTTGCCAGTTTACTTGTAAGTGTATTCACTTAATCCACTAAATCAGTGGTAACAGGCAAGCTTGTTAATGTGCTAATTCACACTTCATTGAAAATGCAATAAAAACTATTTTACAAAATAATTCCTTTTTCTGAGGTGAGTCTGAAGAAATACAACATTAAGCTGATTACTAATAAATTACGTATTTTAAGGGGATGGAAACACAACGGCGCCAAATAACCGAAGCCAATCTAGAAAGAGATGGATAGTGCAGATGTGGAAGGTAACGGCATTGTGAGCAAAGAGGACACCGAACTTTGAACTGGAAAAAAACTTTAAAACATTCCTCATTCACTTACAATGTCAAATGTACTAAAAGTACAGACGTTGCTCACGCTCTGCTTCATACTCCAGATCAGTACTGAATCTTTTTGAGGATCTGTTCTAAATGAACTCTTCAAATAGCCCACAGAGCGGTGTTTTCATAGTTCTCCCCACATGGATGTAGCAAAGATTGAAATCCATCTGCTTGCTTCCACTACTTCACTTTCCTAATTTATATGCAGCTTTTACTTCAAATGTTATGATACACAACTAAATACAGTTTTTCCTTACAAAAGAATTCCATGAATTGGCAAGATGCTTCTAATGTATACAAACTGTAGTATGAAAACAGACCAACCTGAGTTTCTGAGCAAGCTTACAAAAGACCTAAGAAAGTCGAAACCCACTCAACTTAAAAGTGCAACACAGAATATTGCAACTGTGACTTCTCATTTCTCCTACTTAAAGAAAATTTTGTGTTTCTTCCTATAGGCTCTGTTTCCACTGATGTACTTAAATGTCTTCATCATTCAAAATACTCCAACTTCTCATTACATTCCCAAAGACCATCGCTGGGTAATCAGCATTGAAATGCGAACACTAATAAGCAATGAAACGCTAAGCAGATACTTCAGCCGTCATAAGAAAGCCAACATTTGTTTATGTAAATTAATTCTCACTTGCCCTCTGTAACATGATGGAAAGCACAGCAATAATAGCAGAGTAGCAAAGTCCCAGGCTGCACCAAGTGGGGCACTGCTTACCTTCAGAAGGCTTCAGGTACACAGGGAACCCCAGAAGATCCCCTTGCCTCCACTACCAACCTTAAAATGGGGTCTGGGAAGGGGCAGATCCTGGCTCCACCCTTCTGGTCACTCAGGTACATTGCATACAGCTGAGCTCCCCCAAATTGGCCCGCCTTCCCACCAGGTGCTCCATCACTGCTTCAAGCTGTGACTCCCATTTCTGCTACACTCACAGTATGCTGGAGCAAAGTGAAAGCAAATGGTAAGCTTTAGAACATGCATCAGGATAGACACTGCCACTCAAGAGCTGCAGGAAAGCACCATGAGCAGCTCGTTAATTCTCACTGAGCACAGCAATGCTGCTGAACATGAAAAAGGACCTCAGCCTTCTAAATAAGGACAGAATTTTAAGAAGATAAATCAAATTCTTAATATTCCTCAATAAATTAAAAACTAGTAGGTAAAGCCAGTTTTGTCTTGTAGCTGAAACATTACATGAGTTTTATTTCTGACCTTTTCCCAGGGCACCACTACCCCTCAGCCTGTCCTCCAGACCTGGAAGTGTTAAAGAAAGGCAAACACCAAGACGTAGATGCTTAAAACACTTCTGAGCATTCAGTCCCACTGGAAGATCACATTTACATTTAGCAAACGTAACCGATACACGAATTCTGTATCGGTCTATAGATAAGCAAACAGAGGTGCTCTCCAGAGACATAATACACTTTCATTTAGATGATACATTTATTAAATTAGAACAAAAAAGTTTATGTATTCTAGAGTGCAATAAACATTTGGACACTGGACCTCAATACAGAGAGAAACAATGTCTTCAGAATTACTACAGCAAAGAACATTCTCTGTATTGTATTACAGATCAACCAAACAAGCAGTAACATTTGTAAGGGAAAAAACATTCGGTACCATCAACAGATGCAAACAGCAGTAGAGAAGAAAGCAGCAAGGATCTAGCTAGACAAAAAATGTTCCTATTCTTAGCAAGTTCAGGCTCTTGGCAGGACTCAAATTAGTACTAAAAGCATTCACTTCTAGCAGGCGCCAGGCTTTTACATCTGGCTTTGGCTCTGAGCTGCTTGAAGCTGCTGAGCAGCACAGTGTCAAACAGTATCATCTCACCAGCATTTCGTCAAAGGCTACGACAACAGTGACAATTTATATCAAGAATCAGACTTTTGGTTCCAACGCTTTCATTTCAGACTGTAGGAAAGCCAACCTACTCCCCACCTTTTTTCCACCTCTTTCCAATTCAGACCTAAATGAGCAGATTGACTGAGGCTATTTATGCTGAAAAGCTGAGCAGGATCACAGTCAGTGTTTGTTTTTAAAAGACGACCTTGAAATAAAATTTTCAGCTATAACACATAAGTAAAATCAAGATAAAAATCCCAAGAACAGTATTTAAATACAGTTTAACATCTTGAATCCCATCTACTGGCCACGTTGCTCCTGAATCTCCTGTCGTCAGCTCCTACCTACCCTATTTTGCATAACATTTGCATAAAACAAAGACATAACAACAACAGATATTTAACAGGAGCTACAGCTTGCTCAGAGGCCTGGAACCTAGTTTATGAATAAGCCTAGCTAACCTAGCATTCTGATTCCTTCTGAAGGTTAGAGTTGAGAAGTTGTTTGTTCTGTCCTTGAAAAGGAGCTGTCACAGGATGCAGCACAATTTACCAGCCATTAACTGAACTGTGACTGCTGCTTTTATAAAAAGCTGTTATTGTGGATCCCAGCATTTTAATATAAGAAAATCCAATCGATACATTTTCCCTGAATTATTACATCTCTATCAACTCGCTTTGAGGAAGAGCCAGCACAGGGGAGGTCTTCCTGGACATAGCTGAGAGTTGAAACTTAATGAATATTTACCCTCATGGGCAATGCCAAGTCTCTGTGCTATGAAGACAAAGGCCAAATGCCTCCACACCTATTCAATCACAACACTTACAGAAACTGGAGGGAAGGTACAAGAGGAGTTTCTTGATGAACACCTGTTTTATTTTAGAAAAACAAAATGCAGGGACTCCACTACTAAAGCACAAAAAAGGTACTCTTGGATTTCATTAAGACCATGGAGGATGTGTAGGCATATTTATGCTTTCAAGGGTAAATTTACAACCGTAGGGAGATTTGTAACAAAATGTAAAATTCTTTACTATGGAAAAAAAACAGCTTTAAAAGATCAGGAACCAGAATAGATTTAAGCACTGTATTTTAAAAGTTTCACCATCATTTTTCATTATAAAAAAATAAATATTCGTACTTTACCACCAGTGCTACCCAAAGATTTCTTATGTGTAGGTAGGGAAAAAAAAATAAAAAAAATCAGCTTTTCAGCAGATATGAAAGAATATTTTAAGTGTGTGACATGCAGCAGAGTTTGAGGAAAAAGAGAATAAGGGTCACTTTTCCCTATTCCAGACTCTGTTTAAATGCACAGTTCTCATGAATCAGTTAAGAGCCTGGATTCCAAGTGTACATTCATTCCAACTCTTGAAAATGTAACAGTTTATGGCTATTGTAGAAAGTATCTGAAATTAAACATTAAAAAAAAGATAGAACAGCAACATTGCACATCACTGAAATAATTACCTGGTACATACTACTTAAAGTGCATTACTTTGTCATCTACACAGACACTGCAGGAAATTATCCACCAGGATAACCAGTGCCTACTGTAAGATTCTGCAGCTCCAAGATGAACTGTTCTGGAAAAAAAACCCACCAATAATAAATACAAGCAACCTCTAACCTCCTCTGAGAATCAGACTAAGTCAGATATGTTACATTTTCTCCCACAAAGAATTATTTCCACCTGTATCAAATAAATTGGGTTGGACCAGTTGACCTTCAGAGATGCCCTCCAACCTCAACCACTGTGACCACAGCAACCACAATCAACAAGTCATTGGGCAGCTCAGTGACATTCAAAGATTCTGAGACTGTTTTCCATGCTTCTACTTTCAAATTGCACAAAGAAATACAATAGTTTGTCTACTCATATACAATGGTAGTTTTGCTGAAATATAGATGCGAAGAAAGAAGCCTTAAACAGATCATACATTTCTACTTTTTTTTTTAGATCAACAGCAATACCTTAAATTTTTCATTTATTCTCTAGGCACAAAATCTTTCCTCCTGTGCTTCTGTGTTTGTCCTTTGAAATAGTCATGGGAATGTAGAAGCAGTAATGAGTGCAATTTGCAGTGGGAGTACATCAGGACTCTGTTCTCTGCTACAGCAGTAGACTGCACAAGTTAAAAAGTCATTTGTTAAGATTTTACAGATATATAACCATGTTCTATGGTGTGATAAAAGCCCCAAGTGGACACGAGATAATATACTGCTTTGGTGCTCAATAACTAGATTGAAGGGAAGATGCTCATTAGAAATACCAGCAAGCACAACCTTAGAAATATAACATACTAAACCAGAAGTCTTCCATCAATCACAAGCAGTTGAATATCTCACAGCAATAACTGACCACTACAGGACAAGGAGCAGGACTTTCTTTTAATTTCTGCTATAAACAGGTTGCTTGGTTAAACCTAAACACTTCAGCAAATAAATTGTTCAAAAAGCAAACCCTCCACTGGAAAAGCAATTTTTCCACTCTACCAAACAGTAGTAAATCCTGTACTGCATAGAGTTATTCTGTAAGAACAAGTTTTTGAACAGAGGGAGAGAAAGGGAAAAAAGCAGCATTATTCCCTCAGAATACAGCCAAACAGGGCACAGATGATATCAAAGGTGTTTCAGCGCTGTATTGTAGGACATTCTCTACCTGCACATACTCAGTTTAGCATAAGAAAGTGAAAAGATCCAAATGCTCAAGGAGAAAAGGGGATATATTCTTGAATACAGGATGCACTAACAGCAAACTGCAGGAAATTCTTCCTCTAGCTAAATCCCTGGCTTGGCAAGTAAAAATAAGTGGCATTGAGGAAAGGGACAACGCAGGAAGTGATTCTATGATTCTTCAGTCATCTGAAGCAAGGAGTTGATAGCTGCATTCTTGTTCCCTCTCTGAGCTTCTAGCACTGAGCGGATTACTTCTCTGTCCATGTTGGGAAACATGTCCTGGATAGATTTCAGGTCCTCTTCATTACACAGGTGCTGAGGATTGACTGCAGGAGGTGGTATTGCCACAGGGACCATGTCAGGATTACAGACTGCAGGCATTCCTGCATGCAGGAAAAAAAAAACAACACATGAGAGAAAAGTTAACGAACGAGCATGAAGAAGGAAGCATTCCATCCCTTACCACTAACCCACCTACTTCAGAGATAGCAAAGATTGCTGCAACCAAAAGCACTTTCCTAGACCTGGTTCTCTGCCCAAGTTAGGTTTCAGCAGCAGTAAGCAATATGGCCATAGGTACAGCTCAGAATTAAGATACAACCCATATCAACCTGGCTTTCATGTAAGTCATCAGATACTAAGTGTATTTTAGGCCCTACTGTATTTATATTGTGATAAACTGCTTTTTAAACCAAAAATATATGCAACCAAGAAGTAGACATTCAAAAAGTGTGATCTTCATCACATTAAAAGGAAATCATGTCCATGAAAGGACTCAACTACATACATAAATGAATCTCAAACAAATGGTCTTGCTTGGTTCAAGTGCCTTCCAGATCCTCCTGCAGCGCCCCAGAGTAGCAAAGTACAATTCCCATTAAGCCCACAAGGGTGCACATTACTTCTCCAAGTACCTCTGCTTCAGTACAAAATCATTTGATATTTTTAATGAACCTTTTGCATTGCTGTGCATAATTAAAGCACTGTCAGATTAGAAAGTTTCAGAACGTGAGTTCTTAAATTACTCTTAAACAGAATTAGTAGACAAAAGCTCCTTCACATCATTTGACTTTTATTATTAGCTTGGCCTACATCTGTTGCTGAAAAACTACCATTTGTTTTTGAAGAACTAAAACCACATATAGAACATCCAGAGGCTGTTACCTCTTCTGAAAATAGCCTGTTTCACTACAAGCCATTCCCCAATTATCTTAGTCTCCCATGTTTATACATTACTTTTTTCATTTCTGCTGTACTGTTTCTAACACAGGGCATGGAGAACTGCCTGCATCACGATGCAACTGTGCCAGTGCTTCACACAGCAGCTCAGTAAAGCCATTCATTCCCTTTCAGATGTTTTATCCATTTTTCAGTACACTATTCACCTGATGTTTTCAAAGAGCAGTCCATCATACATCTGTACACGTAGTAATGATCAAAGCACCACCAAATATGTATTTTATCTTTACATGTAATACCCGGTTTAACAGTTACCTAGGAATGTCACATTGTGTCCCACTCAGTGATATCAGATAGTTCCACAACTTGTGCAGACTTAGAAAACTGCAAAGAGCTTTTGAAGTGACAAACTATCTTCACTTATTTTCTTATATGATGGACTCCACTAAAAACCTCTTTCATGAGATGATCACACACTTATTTTCATTTGTTCAGCAGATCTTCAAAATAGCTACTAAAAAAACAGATGACATTTTTATGATTTCATACAAAAGACTCCTTCACAAATGACAACATAAGAACTGCAGCTAAGGTGAGCACATCATCCTTACCCACATGTCCCTCAGACACCTACAGTTCCTGAGGTACGAGCTTCTCCTACAGAACCACGTTGTTTATGCTTTCTAACTTGTACAATTCTTTCAACCTTAAAAGTGATGTACTAAAATTGATACTCACGGTTGGATCACCAAAACCCACCTTAACTTACATCAAACTCTAGTTGACAATGCCCTCTAATTGAATACAATCTGACTGCACTGCAACTGTTGTTTTACTTAACATTCTTTGGTATTTCTTCCTTCAACTTGGACTTCAGTCCTATTCAATTTCATGCTGGAGTGCATTACTGAATTGTAAGTGTCTGAATGCTTATCAGTCTTCTCCAATCTTAAAATTCTCCTCTTCTTCAGCTTTACTAGAAGCAAAAAAGGAACCTAGGAGCTCTAAGTCTAGGTAGCACAGGCTGCACCTATTTAAAAACGTTCACACTGGTATCTAAATAAAAGCCTCTTCTCAACATAATTTTGTTACCCACACACTCAAACTATCTCTTCCAGCCATATGTACCACACTCCCTCACAAGGACATCTACAGCCCCCTCCACAACCACCTAAACTTGGGCTCTGGAGCTTCTTAAGCCATTTGGATCATGTCCCCCTCAGAGTCTGCTCAGCACTATCAGATTCTTTGACCTTCTGTCAAATCAGATTATGGTTGTGCCCCAGAAGTAAACCACAAAGTAATCCTCACCAATGCTGCAAATACAACTCCTTACACAATAACCACATCCAGCAGCAGCATTTCACATTGCTTCTTCTAAGCTTCAACACACTTCAACTCCTTCTCACACTTCCTCAAACACTGCAGGCATTTACAAAATATACATAACTTTGAAACCATGCAAGTTTGAAGGCGTAAGTGAAAGAACAGAGCAAGACAAGTTATGCTTCACTTTGAAGTTTCCTAACTTTCTTTAATAAGTTATCAGCACCATGAGACTATCCAGCTACCAGCTTAGCTATTTAAGATCTGTCTGTAAAAAAAGACCAGTTTAAAACATTAAGACAAACGAAGCATCAGGCTCACTTCCAAAGTGTCAAAGCATCCTATAGCGTACCAGTAAGCCTGCCTCTGCAAAAAAAATGATGGTGACAATTTCCTTATTGCTTACATCAAAATGATAATTATGAGGCCAGATATCCGTACAGGCAACCTAAGCACTTTCAATGTAAATATCTGATTTTAGAGAGGAGATATTTCTTGCCAGTGTTGTTCTCCCCACATTCAGACTATACTAGAGGAAGTGGTATCAGTGATATTTAATAAGCATTTCCAGAATAAATGTTTATTTTCCATGAAAGTCAACATCACCAGTTTCAAGAGTACATTTTTCTTGGCTTTGTTGTTGTGCCCCCCAAATCAAAAGTATCTATTATTTCTGATTTACAAAATAGCAAGCATAACTTAAGATTTAAGCATAAATTTACACACTATGTATTTTAACATACATATATATGGATGTATGACATACATGTGTGTAACAGTTGTGACCAGAGTAGCTGTAATAAACCTCAGCTTTTTCTTTGTTGAGTAAAAAGCTGCTGTACATATTAAGCAGCTCCTTTCACTAACAGGTGAAGACTGAAACTAAACCACATAAGCATCCTCTAAGTATAATGGAACACTCCTGTGTTGCTCTCAGATTAGTAGGTGATAATAGGTGTCACACATCAGAAGAATGGAGCACTGTTTTCTAATTCAGTGAGATGGCAATGGCAAACATGCTGGCATAAGCAATGGCATTCCAGTAAGTGAAGCAAGTACAACAGCAGTCAGTTGCTAAAAGCAGCAAGGAAGCACCAACAAAGCCTTGAGTGTAAACATTTTCCAGCTGCACACAAGGCATTACCACACTTGTTTTACTGTTCAGTCAAGCACCCTACATTTATTAACTCATTACTCTTCTGTCTTATGTACAGGGATGATCCTTCCAAAATTAACTCATGAGCCTCTTCAGCACAAGTTCTTTTAAAGAAAGACAAACATCAGTATCACTTTTTTTTTAATCTTAAGACTCAAGTTCTTTATTCCAGTAGGTCCTATTGACACTTGCCTCAGAAAGAGTCAGTTCTAGAAGTACAGATGCCACCACCTTTTTCTTTAATGTTGATTTTTAACCTGCCAAGCAGCTAGGTGACATGAAGAACATGAACCTCCAGAAGTTTTACAGCTCCATTGCTCTGATGAAACTAAATACACTGTGGCACACCTCTCTTGCATTTACAGCGTGTTTCCGAAACTCAGAGCATCAAGGAGTAACTTTTTATCTCATTATGCATAAATCTAGAACTTTCTGAACATACTTGATTGAACACCAATGCTTATATTGAAGGTAAGGATGTCACAATATCTTTGCACAGTTCAAAACTCAAACGTGTCACATTAAATTAAGCTTGAATTGAAGAAAAATGGTTTTCATAACAGAACTCACCTTTAGAATCATGTCAGATACTTAACTTCACATGAATCTAAAATGGTCTGTGTAAGATGCAAAATAAGTGATGAAGTAAGTGTTACCTTTTACAAAAAAAGGCTAATTTAAGAAGTAACAGAAGGTAGGTGACAGGCTGTCTTGTCAGAATATCATTGCAGAGCTGAGTTCTTCACTTCAAAGTTCACAATCATGACATTACCTCATTCTCCCCAAATCTTGCAGTAGCACTGCAAGATTAAAGTTCGTCTTCCAAGAAACCAGTGCTGCCAGCAAAAACAGCTCAGTGACACAGAACAGTTTCAGAAGAAAATCAGCATCACATTTGACCAACCCATCACCAATTACTTTCTTACATACTGAAGTTGAGCAGAAGATTAAGAAATCTCCCACAGATTAGAAGGACTTCAGCAATTTCAAGAGATGCATTATTTTATTGTGACATCCGAGTGGAAATACCTTGTGACGCAGTCTGCTGTAATGTAAACAAAGCTGTCTATATGAATTCATGCATAGACTTGAATCAGTGACAATGGGAGTGAGTAGAGAGCTTGGAAACTTACCCAGAGCAAAGTATTCAAGCCCTAAAGATAGGTGGAAATGAAGGGGCAAGGGAAAAGGAATAAGACATGGGAAAGAAACATTAATCTATATTTAAAAGAAAATGAAACATTTAGTTTCTAAAGGTGAAAGCTGGATAAACTGAGGTAACTGCACAAAAACTACACTACCTAATAGCAAAAACGAAATGCTGCTAGGATTCAGTCTCACAGCTATTTTTGTTCCAGCACTCAGAAAAAGCCTTCTAGATGTGCTGTTTTTATTCAAATAATAAGAAAAGCTTCCAAAATAAGCAACTAGGCATTTATAGCAAGGATTATATTTTATAGCCCAGAAAGGACAACAAACATCCATACTGTTCTGAATAAACCACAACTTTCATAAACTAACCCAACGTACCCCATATGGAGACCTAAAGGAGTAACATACACATACATACAAGTTTGCCTCTAAGGAAACTAATATTACTCTCCGAATGAGCCTTGGAAATTTTTATTTTATTTTTGAACCTACTTGCCATAAAGGTGTTGTTGAATCAAGTGCAAATGCACTTTATCCAGTGACAACTTAGCTGTAAAGAAATACAGCTTCACTGAACTACCTGTGCTAAACTACTGCCTTCCATATCCTTCTCGAAGACCAGCTTTGATTGGTAACCTACGTATCACACTACTTATTCAACAGCACTAAACTGGCTGAGGTTTAGAAGACACAAGTGAAAGGATACGAGTAAAGCCAAGTTTTAGAAGAACTTCTGACACAGAAGTTCAGTATTCTCAAACCCAATTTGTGACCATAGTTTGTAGCAACTAGCATTATCATCAGGATTCTTTAATTTTTAAAACCTTCAAAGCAATTTCACGCAGTGCAATGCTGTATGAGCAATATCAGTTGCTTTGACCTTAATTAGGAGGTTAGTTATGTATGCCAAGTTTTTAAACAGAATTTTGTTATCCACAAAAAAAAAAACCAAAACAAAACAGTTTGGCCCTTCTAGACACAGCTAAATTTGACTTACTATCATCTCACTGTACAGCTCAGTTATTTTGGACAGTTCCCACGAATAACTGTGAACTGGATTGGATAAGCGTATTCCAGTCCACCTACTGAACCTATTTTCCACCTTGACAATTAAATTCGGTCTTGTCCAACAGCAAAATCTTGTCCCTTACAGAGGCAATAAAGCAATCAGTGCTGCTCTTCCAGTTTCCTCAAAAACCTAATAGGACTTTACCATCCACACTCATTTAAGTGGACAGGTAGAAGGAAAACTGAAAGTGAAGAGACGGAACAAGATAAACATACTCTGTGGAACACACTGCTGCCTTTCTTTAAGCTACATAATCATGCCTCAAACAGTAGAAGTATCCTGGAGTCACTTGCAAAGAGACTTCACCATTCTTGCAATTATTATGAGTGGGTCATTAGATTAGTGAATAGGCATAGGCTTCAAAACTCACAGTGCTTTGAGAAATTCCCATAGTGCCCACAAATTCTGTGAAAGTAAACACGTGGCAGAGTAATATTCAAAAACTCCTCAAAAATTGTGAAAAACACAAACAGGTGAAGGGTGGGTTATAATAAGCTAGTTTGGCATTTAGAAATTAGCAAAGTACATTCAAATTTTCTTGGAACAAAAAAGTTTAAATGGAACGGTGGGACTCCCACAGCATCTTAAAAATAAAAGTTCTATCATCAGGAAGAACTTTTGATAAAGAAGATTATTGTAGCAGTACGTAGAACAAGCATGCAGCATCTTCACAGAAGGGAGACACACCAATAAAACCAACATATAAATACTCGTATGATAAAACGTCAGGCATTACAATCACATGCACCAAAACACCAGTTGTTTGTTCACCTGTCCAAACTAATTTTTTTTTTTTTTTTTTAAAGTATTTCTGAAAATATACTCAAGGTCAACACAAAACTTACAGAACATCAAGATATTAATCTCAAGATACACCACTGTATTTTTTTTTCTAACTCTACTACTGAAGATCTTCTACTTTCAGTTTTACCTGTTCAGTCAGATGTCTGCTTTCAGTTACTGAATTTATCTGATATTAACCTCTGCTTCATTTTCAGTTTGCAGTCCACTAGCACAGCATGAACATCACTGTTTTGATATGTTCAAGAAATTCTACAGCTTTTTTTTGTTAAACATCTAACCACCTATTTAACTATTTAACCAGCTATTTAACCCCACACAAGATACTAAATCTGGGGTTTGCTAACTGCTTCAGTGTATCAGGACGTGATGAATCCAGAAGTAAAAAGGCACACCTAACATAAGAACAGAAAAACCACAGAAGCTTACCACAATGGAACGATACTTCAGAATAGACAAAATAGTTTAGACTAGTTTGCTGGCAGAGCAAGCAAGACTTCAATCCTGAGAATGAAGCTCTAGAGATAAAAGCACTTCGAATGAAGCATTCTATAAATTTCCATCAGGGAGTTCAGTATGTAACCAAACTTTCCTATGCTTTGCTTTAACTCTAAAAATGAAGCAGGAGGCAAATTTTCTTAAGTTAAACATCCAGACTTCTATTGCGAAATCTGCTTTTTCAGAGAATGAAATTTAAGTTCAATCAAGAATTGAGCCTAAGAGAAAAATATATTGTGCTAGTCCTCAGTATGGCAACTGTGTCCCATACACTCTATCGCTCAATCATACAAATATACGCAAAGAAACCCAAAATACACCAGTGAGATTATTTTCCATGAAGTGCACTGTCTTGCTGAATTCATGTTCAAACTAGAGCTTTTAAGAGCTGAAAGTAAAATAGAAAAAAACAAAAAACCAAACTTTACTTACCAATTATTGAAGAGCAAACACATGGTTACTTACATACCTGAAGCTTTTCACTTTTGACAGTAAAACTACAAAACCTAACTTAACACATCCACCTGTACAAGTCCAAAATTTACTTTGCACAGACCAAGGCAACTGACAACTGCTTTCTTTTAGCTTTTTTTTATATAGTTGTATTGATTTATCTCAGAGCTCCCTAATACTTTCCATTAACAATATTAATCAGTTCATGTACTGTGCAGCAAGTTTCCAACAGAGTATCTTCAAGGTCCACAAGAAAGATAATCCCTTTGTAGTCAATTTTAGCTAGAGCTCTGACCACACAAATCTGATGTGCTTTCTGAAGTCTGAGCATTTTCTCACCTAGGTTGCCACCATCTTCACAGCACACAACATCTGACAAACTATACTCCAGTATATTTAGTCATTTAATGACTTGACATTAGTCTAGATTTCAAATAAAAGTAGACTTCATGCTACTTGTTCTGACTTTATAGCCATTTTAATCCAAGCTTATGTATCTCACTCAAACTCAGAAGTCAAAGACTGAAATTAGGTCTACATTTAACTCATTTTCTCTTCTTTGGTATCGTGGAAAAAACAGTCAAGGATGAAATCACTTGTAAGTTCCCTTCACATTCCATAAGTGAAGAGAAACTTGGTAGATATCTCTGCACCACCCCTTTACTTGGCAGCTTTAGTCTTCAATGAAAGACAACATACCTGCTATAGGCACATATCCCACGCCTTGCTGGTATACAGTGGGCATCAGAACCACTGGCTGGGGCTGCATCATCATGGCAGCTGGCAAAGACTAGACACAAAGCACAACAGATGAAAACAATTCAAGAAATGTCAATTAAAACAATGCTTGCAAGAAGTCACCACACTGTAATACAGAAAATCTGCACTGCATGCCCAATAAGACCTATGCAATTTGTATTAAGCAGAATTTTTTGCAAGCTAATTGAAATACTACTCTTTGAAATGACAATTGAGTGTAAATCAGAATAAGCACATCATGCTAATTATCCTTCCCCATCAGCTTGACACAGCTGGCCACTGAAGTTCTGCTACTGAAACAAATTGTTTTAAAACCTGGTTTTCTAAGTTTTCATACTTTATTCTTGGGAAAATGAATACATTCACATCCATCCGAAGTGAAAAGCTAAAGCAAACCTGAATTTTATTAAGAGTAGAGATTAGTCCAAATCAAAAAGACAAAGATAATAGACTAGAGAATAGTCCAGAAGCTACTAAATAGACCAAAGTCAGCAGTTCAAAATAACAAGCACTAAATAAAAATGGAAATAATTCAAGTCATCAGAGCATTCAAACTTTCCAAAAAGACCAAAAGAGCTGCCATTACTTTTACTTCTAAATTGACATGACCTTCTAAATATGCAGTGGAATCTTTGTTTGTTGTTGTTTTAATCAAATTAGAAATCAAAACAGATTATTTGATTGAGGATTAGCCAAATCGTTATTCATTTACTGCCTCACCAAGAAGGATTTACTAACTTAACATTTTTGGCTGCTATCTGCAAAATAAAGTACAAATGCTCACACACACAATAATAAGATACAATGGAAATACTCCTGCTTTAACCTAAAATATCTCCTTTCATTACCTCTCATTCTCACCCTAAACTTGACTTACCGTGTATGACATCACCAGGTTAATCATTCCTTCTTTGTCGTCACCCTGCCTTCCACTCAGGCTGTACCATTCGTCCTCCACATTTCCTTGTTTTAGAGATTCAGGAATCGTAATGTGTGTCCAAGCAATGCGATCATCCATTGAAAAGGCGCGCTAGAGGAGAAACAAAAAAAGTCTCCATTTTACCTTACTGCAATCTACCTGTACACATGAAGAGTCACAGCGTACAGACTGCCAGGAAATCACCTCTCAGCCTTCTTGTATCTAGGCTGAACAAATCAAGTGACCTCAGCCACTCCTCCTAAGTCTTGCCCTCTAGACTCTTTACTATCTCTGTTGCTCTCCTTCACGTGCTCTCTAACACACCACAGTCCTATGCCCTCTGGATACTGTGGCACCCAGAACTGCACACAGTGCTGGAGGTGAGGCCACACAGCTCAATGGTCCAGCCCTTCCCCTCACCCAGCTGGCAGCGCAGGGCCTGGTGCACCCGAAGTACAGATGCCTCTTTTGGCTGCCAGGGCACACTGCTGGCTCACAGTCAACTTGTTGTCACCAAGAACCCCCAGATCCTTTTCCTGCAGGCCTGCCCCCAAGTCTCTCGTCCCCTCATCCATACGTGTATCCAGAGCTTCCCCATCCCAGGTGGGAAATCTGACACTGCTCTTACTTCTTTATGTGGTTGGAAATTGTCCAGCCCTCTAGTCTGTCACAGTTTGACTGCCCTCTCTAGACATGAGGGAGTCAATAGCGTCCCCTTACTTCATATATTTGCAAGCTTTCTTAATATGCATTTGGCTCCTGTGTCAAGATTACTTATAAAAACATTAAAGAGAACTGACCCCAAAACAGAGTCCTGTGGAATCCCACTAGTGACAGATCTGTCAGCCCAATCTATTCGCTATAACTCTTTGAGCCTGACTTGTCAGCTAGCTCTTCACCCACTGTATTATGCACTTGTCTAGCTGTATGCACCTGAGAAGGATACTGTGAGAAACAGTACTGAAAACTTTTTTTGTTGCATAAACATTAAAAAATATTGACAGAAAATATTTCAGTTTTTTTTTGTTCATTCTATGCCATACTTCCAGACTCCACCTGATTAAACAACCAGAATGCAGGAGGTCCTATCCATAAGGCAGAAAGTATTTAAACAGGGGTATATCCGTAGATAGCAATCACTCATGAGCAGTCACACTACTAAGAATCAGTTTACATTTTAAATATAACTCCAGTAATTCAGGAGTAGCAATAAGCATTGATGTGCCTCCCATCTTGCAGTAATGAAACTTCAACCAATTATCACCGAACAGCATTCAAAAGCCTCATTTGTGTAACAAGTACACAGCTACTGCAGTGTCAAGTTAAACTCACTCAGTAAGAGAGACAGCAAAGAAGGGCAAGTCACAGACATTTGCCTCGGTTGTAGCCTCTTGCTATGCCTGAGAACACAAGTTTGTTCTAAGTCAAAGTCAACATCCCAAAACGGAACAGTTAACATGTAGGCACATAATCCCTGCTGCCAATAACAACATCAAGTAGAATAACACATCAGAATTTGTGACAGTGCTACTCCTATAAGCAATGTTTGCAGAGCAGGTTACTTAACTGAGCTGTTAAACAGATGTACTTAATCTGAGAAACTGAAATTCATAACCTGTGAACAGTTTATCAGTTCTGCACGTTAAGTAAAACGTACCTAAGTGGACATGTGGGGACTTGCCATTAAATTCAGGCATAGATAAAGTTATGTTTCTGCAAATTATTCCCAGTGAACTACACATTCTATACAGGATTGGTTTATTCTCAGTATTTCTGGGCTTGCAGTTAACCTCTTCCTGCATTAGAACAACAAAGAATTCCTGGGCTAACCCAGCAATGTAAAAACATGCTATTTTTAATAGGGACAGTATATAAGGCTGCAGCACATCTTGATAATAAAGAAGGGCTTCGATGCCACTCAAACATTCCTGCTTCTCTTTATTTGCAAGGAGCTCTGCTAATGCTCTGGTACCCCTTGTCAGGTAACAAGCTCTGGCATTCTTGGGCTGACATTCTTGGAGCTGAGCAAAGCTTCATATATTGCTGATCTTGAGAATCTGAGACGCTAGTATTATCTCCCAGAGAGTGCAGCTAAGAAACAGCCTTTGCTAACTCAACTCTACCTTGCAGGATTCCACCTAAACCTTAGTCCAAATAAGGGATGAGGAAATGAAAGCAGTACCAACATTCTGACCTCATCAAATATCTCTAGGTAAAAAGAGTCCACACCCGGAGGAACAGTGCACTGAATCACTTTGTTCCAGCGAGGGTTCTTGGCTCCATTATGTGCTGTGGGGGTTTCATACACAGCATACCCCAGCCGTATCCGGCAGTAGGGATCCATGCGGGTCATTCCATAGTTCTTTGCCAATTTTGCCTGGAAAAAATAAAGAAATGAAAGCCCTTTAAGTGTGTAATACGTACAATAACTTGTGGTTATGATTAGATCACAAAGAATTAGTCATCAAACAGATATATTAGCTTGAGGAAGAGCAAAAATTTCATAGGAACAGCATTCAGATTAGACACAGAGAAGGCTGGAAGTGCCTGGAAAAACCTGACAAGATTCTCTTTTTAAAGAGTCTTCTACAGAAGACACACATCTTCACCAAAGCTAAAATAATAAAACCAGCAGAAGCATGATTAGGAAATCGCATTATGTTCAATTTTTGCCTTGATTTCTGCCCTCCAATGAAACTCAGCATTATAAGTAGCCTATCCTCTTTTACTGAAATATTTAGAAGGATGAAATAACTTAGTTTCAAGAATATCACACAATGTTTGCAGTAAAAAGAATTCAATTTGAGTAAAATCCAGTTATTCATACTTTTCAGATACAAGAGCATGCATTTGATGTCACATAATGAGGTGGGCAGTGTAAGCACAGTGGTACTGGAAGGACAGATACAGCACGTAATCTGAAGTTACCCAATATACTTTCACCATAACATCAGGGGAACAGAAAAAAAACAAGTTTGTGACAGTCCTAAAGAAAACACTGAGTACTGCTGCACAGCTATGCCAAGTAGAAAACAGGTTCATATGACTTTCAGCTGTGACCTGTAAGAAATGACACAGAATTCTTTTTACATTTAAGAAAAGAAAAATGGTGCCTTTGATGCCTCTCACCTGCAGGAGATACAAGGAGTTCAAACTGTTGTGATTTGCAACAGACTTAAGCACAGCAGCTGCAGCTCTGGCCTGGAAAGTCCTTTAATCCTTCAAGACATACACTGGTTTGATAATTACGTATCTGAACCGGTGAGAATTATCTTACACTGTTTCTTGTAAATGTGGGCTTTGCAAATTAAAGTATCTCCCAACATTTCATTAGTAGCAGAAATAGCACACAGTGCTCTGTGTACTTTATCAACAGGCATTTAAATACAAAGGACTTAACTAGATCTCTGCATTCCACAGTTTAACTATGCCACGGTAAGCCTCCTATCCAAGTACCACATGCCTCCATATGCAGCCAAGATTCCAGCAGCACTCCTGCTCAGACTGGAGAACAGCTTTTCTGAGAAGGATCTGGTGGACATAAAGTTAGATATAATTCAGCAACTGACCCCTGCAGCACACACAGCTGATTCCTTGGCTGCAACAGGAACTCAGCCAGCAGTTTCAGGAAGTCAGTGCTGGCAAGACCCACACTTGGAGTACTTTTCTGTGCAATTCTGGACTGCCCAGCATAAGACATGGACATACTGAAACTAGTTCAGTAAAGGGCCACTGAAATTATTAAGAGTTTTACAAAACCACAGAATGGCTGAATTTGGGTGGGACTTCCAGAGAGCCAGTGCTACCACCTCCTCAAAGCAGGGTCAAATGCTCAGTGCTGTGGTCAAGCAAGTTCTGAACATTTTGAAGGATGGAGGCTCCACAACCTCTCCAGGCAGCCTGTTTAACTATCTGACAATTCCCACAGTAAGAAGTTTGGTTTTTATAATTTTTTTATTGCAATATGAGCTCCTCGCACCTCTTGTGGTCTTTTCAGTCACCAGAGATAACTAACCTCTAGAAATAGTCTGTGGAATTAATTACATACTGATAATACTCCTGCCCAAGCCTGATCTTCTAGGTGTCCCCAGCTTCCTCAGCCTTTCCTTAGAAGTCCAATGTCCTTAATCCTTGATCAGGGGACTCTTCTTGGACTAAATCCCTAGAGGTTCCCTTAACCTCAACTTACAGTTCTGTACCAAGTAGTTACACACAGCCATAGCATGAAGAACAGCCATCAGACGTCGCTCTTGACTAAAGTACATATGTAATTTTTATCATTTTTCTTTTGTCTTCACAACCTCCAAAATGTAAGTTAGCACTAAACACAATAAACATGAGTACACCTGCACAAACAGCAATCATTTGAATGTTTCTGTACACAGAAAGCGAGACCTAACAGCTCCTTGAGTATCTCATTGCCTGAGCTCTTACTTAATGAGTTTCTATACATGATAGGATCAAATTACCATGAGGAAAATAAAGCACTTTCAGCTGTCAAAACAAATAAAGATGAACAACTTACTAACATACAAATGGCTAGAAACTAGAGAGCTAACAGTAACACAGCATGTCATCTAATATACATGTTGTTTCCTTGTAGGCCTAAGGTTCAACCCAAATCATCTATACCCAACTATGAGAAAAAAGTCACTGAAGCCTCTACCACTACAAAGAACAGTAACATTCTTCTGCTATTCAAAGTTGCAAGAGATCCATACCATAGTGTCTCTGAACAAAGACTGGGGGAATTGGTTAGAAATAGAGAAAGGTTTGCAGCTGCATTCAACAAACCTTAGATGTAACAAGCATTGAAAAAGCATTGCCTCCAGTCTTCAGAGTATAAGGAATATAGGTTGTGAAGGAATAAACTGACCAGCAAAAGACACAGGAAAAAAAGATCAGTACCTCCTTTCCTGAGAGATCCTATAGTTCTCCCCCTAGTAAAGGGCCTCACCTCACCATTAGAGCTTTAACCATAGAACACCTGGCTAGTCACTAAATACATCTTTAGTGTGTTTTTAGAAAAATACTTCTAAATACATGAGATGTTAACATGAAGAACACCTATTTTGCTGATGCAGATAAACAGAACTGTGCTGAAATCTTACACACCATGAAGGCAACAATTTAGTATTGCCAAGAGGTCGATTTAGGGGTAGCAAAGCAAGCAGAAGTTAAAAAGCTAGGACTATGTACTTGAAGAAAGCCTGCAGAAAGCACCAGAAAAAGTACCAAAACGCATTAAAGGAGAAGTGGCTCAGTACAACCACTTAAGGAGAAATATGTAAGCTAAGTGCAGTTCCTTATAACAGTCTCAAAATCGCAGATGTTTCCCAGTATTCAGAGCTTCTACAGGAATTCTTCTGTATCAGCACCTTCTTCTGTGATAGCAAGGTTTATAGGAAATTGCTGCCCCATGCATATCACAGTTAAAAAACAGAACCACAAAAATACTGACGTACAAGAAAATTAAGCAACAAAAACTTGGAAAACTACTCGCTCCCTAAAAACCAAGCAGTTGAGTAAAAAATTCCACACAAAGTCTTTTGTGTCCACTGATGAAAAATGACCAAAGTTCATGTAGGTACAATTTATACCTGTACTACAGTAATGCTCAGTCTGCCCACTGTACTCATTGGTCCTCCATACTGCAGCTGCTGAGCTGCCTGGGCGTCCAGCTGGATTTGCTGTTGCTGCTGGGTTGGGGTAATACGAAGAAAGTCTTGAGGAAGCTCACCAACATACACCTGGAAAAAAAAAAAAGAAAAAACTTTAGATTTAGATCTCCCACTTCCATAATGAACAATGGGAAGGAACAGAAAACCCAAGAACCTCAGCAAAAACAGTCAGCATTTTACTCTAGTTCTGACAGCATCAGCAAGTAAATAATGACAGAACTGCCAGACTCACTTTCTAAAATACTAAAATCCAATCAAGCCTCTGTGAAAAAATAACAATGTGGACACACAAAGCCAAGGCTGTTCTACAACTGAACATTCAAGTAATCCATACAAACATCAGATCTACCAAGTTCCACATCCCATTTCCACGTGACATCCGATGCTGCCCAGCTCCTCCACTTATTCACCACTCACCCAATCATTCCTGTCACAGTACGTAGCACCCTGCTCTCAAGAAAAAAGTGCACTGAAGTAGAGGCTGCGAGGTCTAATACACTGCCATTACCATTAATAAAAGCTATTGCTCAATTGAAGTCACCAGTATTTTGACACACTTGCAGCAGAGGTTAAAGCAAACTTGAAAGCTGCATAAATAAAACACATGGTACTTGGTAGCATTGGGAAGTGTCACTTTCAAAATTAATCCTCAAGACAAACCATAACGACAAACCTTTCAGAACTAGGATGTCCTAATGCCTTTCCAGTTTTAAACACAGCCTGCAAATAACCTGGTCAAGTTTGGGATCAGATACTACCATACTCGACCCAATGGAGGGATTCCAACTTCAGATAATCACAAATTAAGAAATGAGGAAAAAATTAAAATAGAAAAATTTGAAAGCATCTCTCACACAGTAGGGGAGAAGAAGAATTAAGCTCATCTCTACTGCCTATAGAGCTGCTTCCATATTTAATAACAACACGTCTAACGTATGAAGACAAAAGACACTGCATTTCTTACATTACTGTCTCAGACAAGATTACTTAACAGTGTCTCCAGCAAACGCATGCCTACAGAACAACATCTGCAGGAAGAAAAGGCCCCTAGGACATTGCTTTTGAAGATTAGACAGCACTTGCACGCCAAGATTGCATCCTTGAGATAGCAACAGTCATACAAAATGCAATTTGGCAAGAGATGCATTTGGCTGTGTTCAAGAGCCTCAGGGATCCTGGCAGCAGGAGGTGTCACATACCAGAGAGGAGGTGTATCAAAGCCAAAGAAGTGCTGGCTGCCTGCTGCTGGGAGAGATGGGAAAGAGATGCAGTTCTGCTCGTAAGAGTCTTAAAATTTCACACTGAAAAAGTAATTTTACAGAAGGGAAACATTTTAATGTGCCCCCTAAAGATGGTTAACTGACAATATCTATATAAAGACCTGAAAGTGAATGCTTTAATGGTGACATTTAAACTACTGTTCTATTGAAACATCGAGCTCCTTTTTCACACAGCAACACTTCTCTTTGCAGGCATTCATCATGCACTGCCACAATGCTGAAAATACATTTCTCAAGAGTGTGACCAGAGAACATGCGCCCTGAATATTATTTTTTCACAACCATTTAAATTTCACAATCAGGTTCCTCATAATAGCTTGCTTCCTGAAGGAAATAGCTTTTAATTTACTTGTATAGTTCTTACATGCATCACATACAGAAAACTAATCTGTTATTTTCACAGCTTCAATGCTGTGAACAATTAGTAGTTTTAAAGTAGAACCGGCCATTTAGGAAAGATCTGCACTGGCCCTAGAATTAACAAAGCAAAGGAATTTGCAACACAGCTGGCTCCTTTCAACCCTTGACAACCTCCAGAAAGTTTGAAATTCAGAACTTTTAGCATCTAAGAGTACATATCATAAAGATTTCACATAGTCAGAAGTGAGAGCTGCAACTCTAAATCACATCCCCATACGTGCAAACTCCCTCTGCCAGCTCATCAGAAATCAGGGTAGCATACAGCATTTGGTACAACCATCTTAATGCTGGAAACCTTCACTCATTCATTCATCATGGTTAGAAGTGAAAAAAATGTCATCCTTTTTTTATTATTAAGTCATTCAAATACTGGTCCAACATAAAAATATAAACCAGCCACTGAGATCCAAAAGAGACAAATCCAAGAAGGATTTTTAGTCATTGCATTATCTCACACAAAGCTATATTTTTACACTGGAATTGCAGAACAGATATTCTAAGAAACTGCCAGCAGCTAGCATAACTAAATTCTCAAAAGATACCAGTAGCAAGCCCCTCAAAAGTAAGGCACAGGAGAGGCACTCACTCCCAACTTCAGTGTTCAGCTGTGTATGAGATCTGGCATAAGAGTCATGGTGATGTATTTAGTAAGCAGCAAGCAGAGAACCTCCCTGAGGAAAGAACACTAATCAGTAAGTCCTTATGCTGATTATCAGTTGATTCCATAGAGATGGAGGCAAATCAGCACTGTGCAAACTTTGTCTGTAAAGGAAACAGACTAAATTCTCCCTTCAAAGCATTCAAAAACTGTTAAGCAATTGCTACCTCCAAATCTCAATCAAATACAAACTCAAACACAAACAGTTTTAAAGCCAGAAGAACAGGGGTAATGAGCTGGTATCCCACTCAGCACCCACTTCACACAGCGTTCCCTCTACTACCATAACAGTCCAGGAAGGTGGTGAAATTCAACTCCACCCAGCCATTAACAGCACCACAAACATTCCATCTAACATCTGAATTTAACAGATGCATTTTTCAAGCCAGACAATTTTAACAGTGTCACCATAAAACTTAATTCTTCAGGCAGATGATGAGCAGGCATTCACAACAATAGGTCCGCCTCATCATCACTTCTTAATAAGCTTTACTGATGGCACTGCAAATCAAGAATATGAATTAGCTAGAAACATAATTTCTGTCTGCTAGAAACATCTCATACCTCATTTTGAGGTGCTTTAGAGCAAAAATGCAGCAGGTGAAACAAGCCACTCACAATCAAGTTATCTCTTCAAACCAATGGCTCTGCAGGGCTAATTCAGGCTGGGCTGTCTTAGTCTCATCTTCCAGATACCTCTCACCCTCACCTACCATGCAACACTAAGTGGCAACTATAAAGGAAGCTGAACAAAAGAAAACAAAACAAGGGTTGAAGGTAAAGGAGAGGAATGTGTCATCAGGAGCTTTACACGGCTCACTGAGCAATTAGGTGATTACTACATTACCTTCATCGGGGAGGGAAAAAAAGCATCACCAAGAACAGGCAAAAATGCCCTCATGTCTAAGGATTCCAAACTGGCAAATAGATCCAAAACTAATTCTCAGAGAAATCTCACACTACAGAGCTAAAAAACACCCAGCCATTAAAATAAGTTGTACTTGCTTAGTCCTTAAATGCTTCCACTGTTTAAAAAAAAAAACAAACAAAAAAAAACTAATAAGAGAATTTTGTGCTATTATTATATGGCTAATACTTTGAAAAATTGGGACCATGAGATGCATCCAAAAGAGCTAAAGAAGCTAGATATCATTTTCCAAGGCAGCTCTCTCATCTTTGAAAGCTCACGGATAACAGAAGTAGTCCTCAAAAATTGGAAAAAGTGTCACATTCATCTTTGCAAACCTGTAAGGAGAGAAGGGACGACTGTTTGCCTTGATTTTCAAACAAGGCTTTCAGAAAGTTCCCACCACATCTTGGTATCCAAGGTTGGTCACTGCAGTCCTAATGGGGATGGAGGAAAACTGGATTACTGAGCTCAGAAACTGAAGTTGAGCTGCTGGTGACACTGCAGGTTGGCTAACCGGTACGTTTCTCAGAAGTCTGTATGAGACCTAACACGTGTGCCTAATACATGGAATGAATGGAGGCTTGTTTGAGAACATGGCCAACAACCAGAGCTGGAAGAATACACTGATGGGAGCCCCATGAGATTCAGTAACAAGTACGAAGTCCTGCACTTTGGACAGAAAATTCCCCAGCATCTGTACAGCCTAGAGAACATCTGGCAGAACAGCAAGGGGAAGCCTACTGGAATGCAAGCTACGGTCTAGCAGCATACTATACCACAGACTCAAAAGCCAGTAGACTGAAGAGAGTCATTATTTCCCTTTTCTTGCAATAGTTAAGGCAACATATTGGAATAATGCATCTAGTTTGGGGGCCCAGCAGTACACAAAAGATGATCAAAAGCTCAGCAGAGATGCACCAAGCTGGCCCATGAGAAGGGCTGCAGCACAAGGTCTGTGAAGAGAAGCTGTGGATTCATCTAAAGCAGAGGGATTTTAGGATGTACTTCACACAGACTTTCCAGTGACTATGAGAAGGTTGTTCAGAAAATAGACCAAGTTCTCTTTTGAGATGCAAGGCAGGAATAAACTTAAACTGTTCAACTGAAATGGGAGGATTCACATGAAACAACAGAAAAAAAATCACATGGAGATTATAAAAATGGCTTTAGCCAGTTTTGAAGATCCTGCTGGACCAAGTTCTGAGCAACCTAGCCTGAACTCAACACTGACCATGCTTTTAGGAAAGGTTGGTTTACATGGCCTACTGACATCACTTCTAGCCTCAGCAATTCTTATTCTGTACAACTTGTATTACTGCATGACATCTCCACTTCAACTTCTCTAGAACTGTAGTCAAAGACTATTCAGGCTTCTCAATTTAGAGATAAGCAAAGGAAAGAACTACATTTAATAAGCTTTAAAGATTAATAATAAGCTTTAATAATAAGGCAAAATAAAAAGGCTAGCAAATTGCAAGCTATCAGGCATTTATTAAGTCACTCTCATGATTCTCTTTGCTAGAAATTTATCACCAACCTTGCTTTCATATATGTATCCGTAAGCACTCCGTGAGTACAGTCATTACTGAGTATTTTCCCCTTCCCAGACACACCTACCAAATTTAGTCCCAACAGAATATTTTGTCACAAGCCGTTGTCCCTGGATTTTCCCAGTACATCTAAATTTACCCCAGACATTGATACTTCAGATCTACAAAATACATTCCATAGTGAAAAAGCACAGCCATTAATAAAAACACTGGTTTTAGGGAAGAAGAAACTATGACAAGCCTACACTATTTTAGTAAGGAGGTGAATATTTTGTAATTTGAGGGCTAATAATCATATTAAAAAAAATGAGTTACGTAACAAAGATAGAATGAATGAACATCTTAAATTCAAGTCACATTTACAGAGCTCCTGAGCTACATTTCAAGACAAAACTTAAAATCAGAGATGACAATATTCATGCAGTTAAATGACACTATTAGAACAGGAAAAGAACCAAGCGTTCATTCAGGCTGTCCAGTAGAAGAGTTCAGAGCAAAACAGAAACGAATAGGGAAGCCAAAGGAGCAGAAACCTAAGTAGTCCTAGTTTGGCACTCAATCTAATTGCGGAGGACCTGACATAGTTGTCAGCACAGTGAATAATGACAGACATCCATTCTGGGCATGCTAGGCTAGCTGAAGGATCACCAACACGCAGCGCTGGGGTCTCAAACTCAAGACTTAATCTGAAGCCTGACCAGACTGTTTAGTGATACCTATCACTTAAAAAAAGGTAACCCTTCAGCAGCCCTTCTGTATTCAGCTGCAGCATGGATTTCAAAAGCTGTACCGTTCTTACAATATCACAAAACACAAAAACACATTAATTCCCTATCATCCTAAAGGCAACCCAGGAAATCTACATTCTAGCAGGATATTTACCATCTGCAAACAGAATTCCAGCTCTGTTTCGTCTGAAAAACTCAAGGGCAATCAGCACTTTAATTACTCACCAAATAAACAGCATCAAACTAGAAAGCATGGTTATAAGAAAAAGATTGGCAGCAGTATAGAGCATACACTGCTTTCTTAGCTGCATGAAACAATCTTGAATGTTTGCTTGCCTGTTCAGAGACAGAAATGTTCTGCAGCACTGAAGGGAAAAGGTTTCCCAGTCTTTTAGCACCATTTAGTGGCTATCCATTTGTAATGCAACTATACATAGAGGAACAAATACAACTCTATCTTCTGCTCTTCAGAGAATTAAGGAAGCCAGTATGTACTGTATCAGCATTCTCACCTGTGAATGACAGCTTCTCAATTACCCCAGTCTCTAAAATGCTAAGACAAAGAAAGAAAGCACACACAATGCTGGGAGTATATAAGAAAGAAAGAAAAGGCCAAAGGCAACTCCAAAAAAGTTCTTGCTAAAATCTCAGCTCAACCCAACAGGACTACATCAAGCTGAAATAGGTCAAGATTAAATGTAATAAACTAAATACCAACAAGATATTTAGCACAAGTAAAACCTTCCTCAGAAAGAAACGCCATTCCATTTTGTGGAGGTATTGCTACCAACACAACACTGTCTCAGCAAATCAGGACTGCAACCAGGCCTGCTGTCCAGCTTTATCCAATCCAGCTGGTTACCATTTCCTTCCCCTTCTCCCACATTGATTCCCTACAAGTTCCCCAACCTTTACCAAACATCAACCAAGGCCTGACTGGAAGTTATTTTAAAACTGTTTTGTCAGATACTTATTAGTAAAAACTGTTACATATTAAAAGAACAGCATTTGGGCGCAATCACACCATCATTCTCAAACAACAAGCCTATGGGGACAATTGACAATTTCCTAAGTCACAGAATAGCAGCTGTCCATCAGTAATAGTGTCAAAGAAAAAATAAAAACCTTAATTCACTGTTTTGACTTTAGTTCTCCACCGAAAACTTACTCCAAGAATACAACAATCATAAAAAATAACTGTAAAAGGAATCAATTCTTAACGATCTTCCAAATATGGCACTTCAAGGAATTAAACTGATAGCCAAATAGCATTACTAGCATAAGATAATTACGGAGATTCAGCTTTTCAAGATTAGTAATTTAATAATCCCATCTTCCGGTCTCTCAGAGAGACTGCACAGACAGCAGCCGCAAAGAACCTAACACAAGTGTTTCTAAGAAATAAAACACAGGAGTACATAATAATTAGGGGAAAAATCTGCTGAGCGATAAGTATTTTCAGCTATTGCTCAGTTCTTCCAGCCAGCAATAGCACCGGGCATTAGGGAGGTTTATCCCACAGCGTACCTCGGCACTGAAAGCTTCCCAGCTCACCCTCAACGCAAAGCCTCACAGGACTGTTAAACCGGACTGCTCGGTTTCCAGCCCCGCGGCCGCACCGTACCTCAGCACGTCCCATGCTGCAGCTTCCAGGGACAGCTGTCTGAAGCCGCCCGCTCCAACCACGACCACAGGAAGCTCTACACTACTCTGAGGAGAAATGCATCAGGCTTCGGTTTGGTTCACGCCGCTCTGCGGATGGCGGGCGGCACGAGAGCCCGCGGCAGGCTCGCACGCAGAGGAGGGCCGCTCGGCCGTCCGTCCGCGGGGCTCTCTGCCGGGCGGGGACCCGAGAGCACAGGCAGCCTCGGTCCACGGTGCCGCGGCGGACGCGTTCGCTCTCCTCTCTCCCGCGGACGGCGAGCAGGGGAGGAGAGGAGAAAGGCGGGCTGCCCGGGAGGCGCGGGAGCCGGCAGCACGCGGGATGGAAGGGTCCGCGCCGGGCCGCGGCCGCTCAACCAACGACCGCGAGGGGAGTCTCTTCCGGCGCCCCGAGTGCGAACGCGGCGGCCCGGCCCGCGGCACTCACCGGGCCCCGCTGGGTGCTGACGGTGGTCGCCATGGCGCCTCCCTCGGGCCGAGCTTCCGCCCCGCCGGGCAGCCCCGCCGCTCCCGTTAACCGCTCCAACGCCCGCCGCCGACCGTCACGCAGCGCCAGGCGCCCGCGTCAGCTGACCCCGGCCCCGCCCCCGCCGCCGCGCAGGCCTGCGGCGACGCGCTCCCCGCCCCTTCTGGCGGTTTCCAAAGCCGTGCGCGACCACGCGCGTGCGCCGACGGGCCAGAAGCCCTGTTGCTGCTTGGGGGGCGCGGTGCTTCCCGTCTGCGCACGCGCCGGCCGACCAGCGAGAGGAGAGGCGTCAGAGCGGTACTAGTCTCGCGCGTGCGCACTTGCGCTCTGCGGGCTCCGCAGCGCGGCACCGCGCGGGGCGCCGCTAGGGGGCGCTGCGGCGCTGGGAACGAGGCTTCGGGGCCGCCATCTTGCGGGCGGTGACACCGTGCCCTGGGGCCGCGGTGTGAGCAGCGGGGTGGGCCGTGGGCAAGGCCTGGGATAGGAGCCCCCATTGAGAATGCTGGGAAGAGGGCTGGGCGGGCTGCCCTCGTGCTGGCGCTGAAGCGTCTTGCAGTGTGAGCTCCAAGCAGCGCCTCTGCCGGGTCCTGCCGCGTATGGGAGCGCGGAGCCTGAGCATCGGGTGCGGTGTGTGCAGAATGGCTTTTGTCTCAGCCCCTCCATCGGCTGGACAGCCGGCCCTGCCTTAATGGCCAACACGGCTGAGGAGGTGACCTCCTTATCAAGCCATGTGCAACTGCAGTTCTTTCCAGAAGAACAAAGCGGCTTTAATATTCATCCGAGTGCTGCTTTGGGAGATAAAATCTGATGGTTTCAAAGCCAATTTCAGTAACATAACTGTTTCCTGTTGTTAGGATCTGCTGCAAGATTTTAGCCCTTAATTAAAATTCTAGTGTGAATTTCGGCAGCTGGAAATAGAACAGTGCAATTAGGAGCACTCCAAATATAGCGCTGACTTTTTTTTTCACGCTACCATCTCATCTACATGGAGTGGGAACGGCCTCATCTTCTTGCTTGTCTTGATAGTCAGAAAAATGAGTACTACAGGATATAATTGATTGGGAGCCATTGAACAAATATAGTTGATGCCAGATGCAAGCTAACCAGCCAGCAGAAGAGAAAGGCTCTCATGTTCTGTTATCACTATCACTCTTCCTCTACTGGAAGCAGAAGTCAGTCCACAGAATTGTTAAAGAAGCAAACCGTCTTTCCCTTGTTTCTGCTGGTAGAAAAGAAACTAAATCTGGAAATAAATGCATCTTACAACGTTGGGTACATGGTCTGCGTGCATGAAGCTTGTATACTGATGGAGTAGCTGGTAACGAATGTTGTGTAGATACAACCCCTGTCAGGAGATTAGCTCCTATGCGTTTCTTTGTACTGCATAATTGTATGTGTGCAACCAAGGTGCAGTGAGGGAATGACAGAAGTTTCTTGAAGTAACGCTGTTGAAAGAGTATGTAAACCCCACAGAGGAAAAGGAAGAAAATCAGTGCTAGTCTTCATAATTACAATCTGTGTCATAAAGGCATGTTGAAGGGAAAAAGTGGTATCAAACCTCATCACACTTCTTACATCTGCAAGTACACAAGCTAGGAAGTTAGAGCTCACTGTAACTGCCCCTGGTTTGGCTATTCGCCCTGGATTTCATTTAAACTGAGGACTCCTGGGCTAGTTACAAGTAATTCAAGAAGCTTAGGCATGAGAAAATATTATTACCTCCATAAAATTTATTTTCACGGGAAAATTAATAATTCTATCTCAGAGATTACTCCTACAATGATTGGCAGACTAGAGAGAGCACTGTGCTTTCCTGAGAGCATCACCATTTTCTAACAGAATCTTTTATTTTCCTGTTTTGTTGTTAGTCCTGGAAAATACACGCTTTTCCACGGAGACATTACTCAGTGTCTTTTAATGGCCATTTTTAACCTATGCACCTACCCTGGGGTTAGTTATTAGCTGAAGGTGGACTGCAAACTCAACAAAATACCGGCTTTGCCATCTAGTGGACATGCACGAGAACAGCAAATACACAACTGCGAGGCAGGTGGTTTTGCTTCCCCAAGAGCATTATCACCACAAATAGGGAGCACTGGTGCAAGAGCGTTAAGTGAAACATCTGATATCAGTGTAGTAATTAAAATGGAATGTAAGCTATGGGAAAGGTGAGAGAACAAAAGTCATAAAACCCTCTTATTTGCAACATACAGACATCGTGTATATTAAAAAAAAAGGTTGAAAGATAATTAGAGAAGCTATAATGACAATAACTTGCACTTATCTTGTAATAAAAAAAAGTTGATGTCAGTTTCTCCTGTGTCATTCTTTTATTTTCATTCCTAGTCCCTTCTCTGTCCTTTTCTGTTCTTCTCGTGTCTCTCCCACAATCTCTCCTCTCCAAACCTGTCTTTTTTTCCATCACTATGTTTGTTTGCTTTTTTCCTACGTAGCCCTACATCTTTTACTTTGATATTGTTTTGTATTTACTTTCTTTGTATTTAACTTTGCTTTCAACAGACTTGCTGTAACACCCGCGCTGGAGAACACTCACAGCAGAGCTACTGCCAAATATGGTTTGTGGGTTGTTCACAAAATCAGAGGGGATACTTGAAAGATTGAGAAGAATAATGCTACAGGGGTGTGGGTGTGCAGGAAGCTCATTGGGACAGCATCTAACTTTTGGCAAGTGTTTAGCACTCAGCATTAGAGTCTCACCTGTAAGACTGTTAATATAAACAATAATAATTTGTGTGGTGAGAACTTTCTATTTGTATCTCTTTAACAGCGCTTGTTTTGGAAATCCAAGCATTTGCATTTATTTGTGTGAGAAACAAAAGAGAATCCTTCTGCTCTGAAGCTAATTTCAAACTGTTTGATGGCTGATCTTTTTCAGGGAACCCTCACAAGCAAACTGGGTGATTAGATTTTATTTGTTTCCTCTGTCAGTGATGAGTGTCTGTCATAATACTGTGGGAGTTCCCACACTCATTTAAAACTGGTTTGTTTGTATGGGCTTGCAAGGACTGATGTCAAAGGAGTGTTTTAAAACTAAGCTAAACTAAAGCTGATGAATAAAAGCAGAGTAATAAATTCATTTGGCCCTGCAAACTAGCGAAGTAAGTAAGTTTTAGGTTCTGTTTTGTAGGTGTTGCAAGCATACAAGAATATTGTGGAATGGCCACGCACTGTGTGTCTCTGGCTTGAGTTTCAGGCACAATCAGTCCATTTTACTCAGTCTCTGAAAGATCCAGAGGTGGCACGAAGGTACAAATCTTCTACATGGGGAAAAGCATCTGTTGCAAAATGCAGAGCCAGATTCTACCTTTACTTCTTGAACAGTCTCTCCCAAAGCTGACTTGAAGGCAATAATCATAGAACCGTAGAATCACATAGAATCACAAGGTTGGAAACGACCTACAAGATCATCTAGTCCAACCGTCTCCTCATCACCATTGCCACCACTAGCACTAAACCATATCATGCAAAAATAAGCAAACATGGCTGAGAAGTTCCAAGGGATCCACTACTCTGTGGATTCAACCTATTCCAGAGTGTAAGTGCAGCAGATGGAAAGGGACATTGCAAGCTTTGAGCTACAGAAAAGACCATGGAGTTCAATTGTGCAGAGCTCTGCTTCTTGGGAAATGTTTGTCCTTAGGTAGACACAGCACCAAATAAACAACAGTGGAGTGTAATGCTAATCTTTTCTTCATGATACCAGTTCAAGCTTGTTGATGCACAACAAAGCTGAAACCCTAACGTGGAAATCCCATATGGCATTCAGACTGGCTGTAACAAATAATAATTTCCACTTCAATAGCATGCAAGGAACTCATAGCGCATTGTGAACATTAATTAATCCTCGCAGTCCAGTTGGGATGCAGATGGATTACATCCCTCGTCACCAAAGCAGGGATAGCTCCAGCATGAACCACAGCAACTCCAAAACATCATTCAGGAATTTCTGCCAGGATGCATACTGTACAGAAACTACAGGGGAATTCAAGTGGATGGAGTAAGGAGAGAAAGATTTGAATACAAACTGAAGCTCAGAGTTGGCATTGCATCCCTCCCAGCACCATGCCATGAAACAAAGATGTTAAACAGCAGGCGACTTACCACCACTGCAACCACCACATAATTTCATACCGCAGCCTTATAGATACCGATTGAGCTAGATGAGTATTGGCAAATGTGTTGTTCAAGCAATTGCGGGGGATTCTAGCAGAAAAGCCGAAAGCACAGCCGAGCAGCTAATAAGTGGCTGTTCTTCAGTCACACTGCACTCAAAATAGCTTTCCAGCAGGGGAAAAAGCAAATTCTATTGGCTTCAACACCTGGTTGAGCAACTTAATAAGGACAAAATTGAAAGTTAGAGCTGAAAGAGCTGAATCATTATTTATTTTATAACTACATCTTCATCACACGGTTCACTCTAAAATGGGAGTTATTTCATTTCAAATCAAGCTCGTGCCAGCTTCTTCTGTAGGCTCATTCAGCACAGAGGTGAGGCGAAGGTTCTTTGAAAACAATTTCTGATGGCAGCTGCTTCAGAGCAGGAGAGCAATCCGCAATCATAGGGAAGAATTTTTTCCCATTT